AAATCTTCATCCGAAGCTTAATTTAGATATATTTTACTTAATAAAACATTTATTTTCTGCCTGCTATTACTGTAAAAGCGTATTTCCATTGAGCATCTTCTCCGCGACCTCCATCTTGTTTTCAAACTTTCCCCAAAGCACGCGATCAACAAGTTTCATTTTCTAAGAATACATACAGGAATTTCCCATCAAGAGCCAATCATATCATTAAACTACTGGAAAATCTATCTATTTTTAGTAAACAACAATGAAATGAATGGATTCCCTTTATTTCATTGGTTAAAATACGAAAGAAAACGTCATGTGTGTAAAGTCGATATACTGACGACCGGCACAGAACGGAAAACATGGCGGCTCTCACTTTATCGACGACCGGCACTGTGATGGTGTTATCTGGGTCGTCGATAAAGCGACGACCTGCAGGACTAGGGTTAATTTTACAGGGAGGGGGGTTCAAAATATTATGGCCATAAAATATTGAACCCCCTCCCTCTTAAATTTAAAGGGCAGGGGGACTCAATATTTTATGGCCATAATATTTTGAACCCCCTCACTCTTAAATTTAAAGGGTAGGGGGACTTGATATTTTATGGCCATAATATTTTGAACCCCCTCCCTCTTAAATTTAAAGGGCAGGGGGACTTGATATTTTATGGCCATAATACAGCCTACTCCGGATATATTGAAATTCATGGGACCATGCAAATTATTTCAATATATCCGTAATTCAATATAAGCGAAATCGTGAAGCCGCCATTTTTACAAGTTCAATCGCGATCTTAAATAAAGAAGAACAAACCTGAACAAATTAATTTTTCATCATTTATCTATAACAGTGAACAGATTACATAGAGTATGAGGTTTACCGGTAAATATATTTTTTTTAAATTTCTGTTTCATTGTAAAGACAATCTTCGCCCCTCATTATTTTTCCCCGATCGCATTTATTTACGTTTTGGAGAAAATTCACCGTACTTAAAAGGTTGAGTACTGCTGAACGCTGCTTGTATTTCATTGTAAGTGTACTCGAGTGAATACCTTAGTTATTTCGAATGTAGGCATATCAATACCATTAACAGTACGTGTTTAATTTCAAAATTAAAGTTTTTTCTAGATCTGTGGGGGTTACTATATTACGTTGAGCTGTTTAGTCTCGATATGTCCGTATTATAAACGAGCACGCAAAGAATTTAACAGTGAAGAAATTTTTTTTCGTAAGAGCATGCAGTTTAAAAAAACATAAGGTGAAAACTTAATTATTCACACCTTTGTATATCATCTGGTCAATCAGGCATAATTACTGTCACCAACTGTAACGACAGTCGCCAGGAAGTACTTCAATATAACCGTTATGAAAGCAAGTCATTATCACCCGTGGGACCGATCAGTGGCTTCAATATAAGCAAAATTTCAATATATCCGATTTCAATATAACCGTTATTTTAATGCAAAGAATATGAGAGGCAAAAACTGGGGATTTATTTCTATTTCAAAATAACCGGAATTTCAAAATAAGCGAGTTCAATATAAGTGGAGTAAGCTGTATTTTGAACCCCCCTCCCTGTAAAATTAAATGGGCAGGGGGACTCGATATTTTATGGCCATAATATTTTGAACCCCCTCACTCTTAAATTTAAAGGGCAGGGGGACTCGATATTTTATGGCCATAATTTGAACCCCCTCCCTCTTAAATTTAAAGGGCAGGGGGACTTGCTATTTTATGGCCATAATATTTTGAACCCCCTCCCTCTTAAATTTAAAGGGCAGGGGGACTTGATATTTTATGGCCATAATATTTTGAACCCCCCTCCCTGTAAAATTAAATGGGCAGGGGGACTCGATATTTTATGGCCATAATATTTTGAACCCCCTCACTCTTAAATTTAAAGGGCAGGGGGACTCGATATTTTATGGCCATATTTTGAACCCCCTCCCTCTTAAATTTAAAGGGCAGGGGGACTCGATATTTTATGGCCATAATATTTTGAACCCCTTCCCTCTTAAATTTAAAGGGCATGGGGACTCGATATTTTATGGCCATAATATTTTGAACCCCCCTCCCTGTAAAATGAAATGGGCAGGGGGACTCGATATTTTATGGCCATAATATTTTGTACCCCCTCCCTGTAAAATGAAATGGGCTGGGGGACTCGATATTTTATGGCCATAATATTTTGAACCCCCTCCCTGTAAAATTAAATGGGCATGGGGACTCGATATTTTATGGCCATAATATTTTGAACCCCCTATCTCTTGAATTAAAAGGACAGGGGGACTCAATATTTTATGGCCATAATATTTTGAACCCCGGGTTCAATATTTTATAGGGGGGTTCAATATTTCACAGTGATATTTTGAACCCGGGTTCAAAATATCGCTGGGTTCAATATATTATATGACACTGGTCGGGATCGGTTTAATTGGGAAAAATGGTAAAACATAGGTAAATTTGACTCCTTTTATTTCTCTCAATATACCAGAGCCCACTGATTTTATTGAGTGACTCGAAAGTTTGTACTTTGTATTAATAATAACATGAGAAAAAAACTCATTTTAGTGTATTGGGTTTTATAACGTAATGAAAATTGGATAATGAATTCAAAAAGTTACTTGGTAAACTCAATTTTGGACCACATAATTTTTTCTAAAGAAATATAAATTGGAGTCTTATTCATTAATGAAATTAAAGATAAGAGTCTATAGTATAAATAATATTCATAGACACATCCAGGTTTTGCGTATCTGGTACATGTAAAACAAAATAAAAACGTAGTATTTTTATTTACCCCCATGGTGACCTTTTTGCACTTAAAATTGAGCACTTACCAAAAATAATACTAGCGGAGCACTAAATTTTTTTTTGATGTTGTCATGTGTAAACACTTGCTTTAATAAGTCTACATGCAAAAAATAATAAAAATCCATGACATGCGATGTGCCACTCATTGCCTGATTTTCAGTGGACTGCCTCTTAAATTAAGAAACGGCCACCATGCTCTATAAAATATTTCTGAAAGTGAAATTCATCTTAAAAAGCAGTACGATTAAATATATTTATTCTAATTAAATTCCATGTATGAATTTTGTTTCATGTACATGTATTTTATTCAACAGAAGATTGAACCCAATAGCCCTCATCTTATACCATTATAGGATATTAATGACACTACCTAGTTGACTTTCTACAGCTTGAGTATCTCTGACGTTTTGTCAGTATATACTTGTTTTTACTTTTGTATCGGTATATTAAAGCACGTAAATATAATAAATACAGTTTAAAAGTACAGTGGCGCCTCATCTATGCCAGGCAAATTGTCCGGATAAGTCAATTATCTGAATTCTATTGATTTCTCTTCCAGGTATACTGTATTTGTATTGTAACTCTTATATATAAAGAAAGATAAATGCTATCATATAGAAATAATGATTTATTTTTTTAAACACTATATCTTTAGTATACATCAGCAAAAAATTTTTTCAAATATAATAAATATTTTTATAGCTAAAAACTAAATGCCACTCACTTTGCCGGTGGTGTAGACAGGTTGTAGCTGGAGAGCAGAATGACAAACATTGGATATAACGCTGCTTTTATGGGCAGATTTTAAATTACCCAGCTTAGTTTTTACTTTCTCCTTCCTATAAATTGATGAACATAGCCAAGCGAATTCTCTCATTTGCAGCTTTGATTACACCCAAGCGAGCTGTCAGTATCGAGTCTAATTTTAATTTGAACACTCATCCACTCTAAAACTGACATAATAAAAATTCACGCAGTAATCATCCCAAGCGAAATAATTGATTGTCTAAAATTATTCAAATTTGATTGAATGTTTTAGTTTTTTTTTTCCATGATAACTGCCACCAATCTACAGATGAAAGTTACAATACCGATTTGTGTGTGCACATGTGTAGACTACGAGATTATGAAACTATGTCGTCCCGTCTATAAATAGAAAAATATTTAAAATCAGCTCTGTACTAAAATTATAAATATCTCGCAGATAACAAATAACTGAATAGAAAATTATTTTCTGTTACCAAATTAACACAGTTAATTGTTTATTTTCATTTGTGTATCGATCTCTCGTATATTATGACCACATCCACTTAGCATGCTTAATCATCGTAAGTCATTCATAACAGGTCACAGGTGATCGTCTTGTAAAAACAATCAACCCGGCCAGTGCTTTGATAACAATTATCACTCAGTTCTGGCGTGAATGTTGACAAGAATGGAAGTACAAATTAAAATTTACCGTCCGGATAAATGAACCAATTTATAACGTAAAAATACATTTTGTAGTAAAAAAGAGCCATTACGGAAGCACGTAAATATAAAATTACGTTGAAAAAATCCGTTCCCGAGAAAAATCGTCTGGAAGGTGAAGCGTCCGAATATCTGGCGTCCGGATATCTGAAGGTCCACTGTATATCATTGTGAAAATTAGCAAGATTCTAGTTCCCCTGGAACAGGACTATTTCCCTGGTTGCACATTGGGGAAAAGTCTTGGCCTTGGGGAACTGGAATTTGCTAACTCCCTCAATGATATACTTTAACTGTATAATAACCTCAATGACTATTTCACGAAAATAAGGTTTCATGAAAATTAAGTGAACTACAGTTTTTAAATGCCTCAGTCTGTTTTTTTTTAATGTCTGAATGTCTGGTTTAATAAATTGCCTATGATTGTTTCAGTATAATAAAACAGTTATGGAATGGGTACGCTGGAAATATCAAATTTACGGTTCTCCTCGGCAGGAAACTATTTCCCTCAGTGGCTTCCCCGCCTCGCGAAATAGTTTCCTCCCTAGAGGAACCATAAATTTGCTATTTCCCTTATACCCCTTCCATAATTAAAAAAAATAATGTCCTTAAGTCTTGAGAGAGATCAGTAAGGTTCCTTGGACAGAAGAGAATGGTACAAAATAATTCTAAAGAACTTAGGCAGCCTTTATCAATTAGAAGCTAAAATATTAAAAAAAAAAAAAAAACTTACCAATTAGCAGGTTGTGTTAGATCACAGATTAGCTGAAGGTCTTGTTTAAACTCAAAATGTGGATATATCTTCTTGGCATGGTCAATGAAAAATGGAAATATATCATCCACATGCTTTCTGTCGCTTTCTTTACAATGAAAAAAAAACAAGAAATTAATAGAAAGAATGCAATTAGATATTCAAATTCAATTAAATGTGTACAGGGATTTACTCCGGGTTTTATTCCATACACCCAAAGGCACTGTAACTGAGGATCAACAGAATGTCAAATAAATCTGCTCTGCATAATGTGATGTGATTTAACAAGAGGCCCACGGGCCTTATAGGTCACCTGAGTATCATATGTAACAACTTTCCAACAATTGAATTTGGTTTGTGTTTTAAACCAGAGGCCATGAAATTCACAATTTTAAAAGAGGCACCATTGCTTATCATAATTATAAACTAAGCATGCTTACTCTATTTACTTAATACCCAGAGGTAGATCAGAATAACAAATAGATAATGCACTTCCACTTTAAAACCAATTGTGCAACCCACCCCAGAGGTACCACTGACCATGGGGCCACATATTTCAAAATTTTGGAAATTTTATCATAAATTTTATTTTATCATAAACGGTAGATAAATACCAAAGAGCAGATTTCAAAGCATAAATTTATTTAACTTATTTTCAGACTATGTACCCCCCCCCTCCCCCGATACCCCTGACCCAGGGGGCATGAAATTAATCAGTTTGGAAGAGACACTGACTTGCTAATCATAACTATATATACTTGGATCATTAGCATAATACCTAGGTGCAAAGGAAACAATTTTCAGAGAATTAATGTATTTTCACTATATAATCAAAAGAGCCCACCCCCCTATAAACCAAATGGCAAATCCCCTGTCACAGGGGCTATGAAAATCACAAATTTGGTTGAGGTATTATAACTATATACTAAGTTAGTTTATTTAAAACCCAGGAGCTGAGAAGGAGATTTTAAAAGAATTAATGTATTTTCACTATATAATCATTGGAGTCTCGCCCTAACATCAGAAACACTGACCCCGGGCCATAAATTTCACAATTTTGGAAGAGGCACTCTTGCTCATCATAAATATGTATTTAGTTAGTTTATTTAATACCCACGAGCAGAGGAGAACATTTTCAAAGAATTAATGCATTTTCACTATATAATCAATAGAGCCCTACCCTAACACCAGAACCCCTGATCCCGGGGCCATAAAATTCACAATTTTGGAAGAGGCACTCTTGCTCACCATAACCATGTACTTAGCTAGTTTACTTAATACCCAGAAGCAGAGAAGAAGATTTTCAAAGAATTAGTGCATTTTCACTATATAATCAATAGAGCCCCGCCCTAACAACAGAACCCCTGACCCTGGAGCCATAAAATTCAAAATTTTGGAAGAGGCACTCTTGCTCATCATAACTATGTACTTAGCTAGTTTACTGAATACTAGGAATGTCAATTTTACTCGGACAGCTTAGTCGAATAGTCGGATGCTTTAGTCGAACGATAGTCGAGTATTCGTTTAATTTCAATTATTTTTTCAGATCATTTTCACTGTTTGTCTTTTACAGACTAGTTTACAATATCTAACCTACGCTTTCACCATAATACAACAAATTTCTGAATTGTAAACATGTATGTAGTACAATAAAAACTTTACATCAATATGCATCCAATGTATTTTATTTCAAAATCAATATATTAGCTGCACATTTTATCTAAATGCAGAATATCATACGCTTGTATTTGTCCTTTCTTTACATACAATGTAACGGACTTTGTTAAAATCAAAATCAATACATTAGCTGCACATTTTATCTAAATGCAGAATATCATACGCTTGTATTTGTCCTTTCTTTACATACAATGTAACTTACTTTACGAAAGTTTCACTTGAGAACTTTGTATATGTTTGCCTGATTCGGCAAATGATACATGATCTTTGATGTTACACTACAGAATACAAGTTCTGTTTCACGTAACCTTGATAATTAACACTGTTTACCTTTTATAAGCTATAGCAAAACTGTAGATTTTGAAGACATGTTTGCTGAACATACATCGACGTACAAATAATTGAACAGTTTTACCATACCCTTAATTTTACATATGAAAATATTGATCTGTAAATAAATGAAATGGACAAATCTAAGTTTATTGCCTTGAAATCGAAATTACTTTGATGGAACACATTTCTAACGAATAACCGACTAAAGAAATTTTAGTCAATAGTCAGTATGATCGAACGATAGTCGAGTACTCGAATATTCGTTGACATCCCTACTGAATACCTATTGCAGAGAAGAAGATTTTCAAAGAAATAATGCATTTTCACTATATAATTTATATAGCCCCCACCCTAGCACCAGAACCCCTGACCCTGGGGCCATAAAATTAAAAATTTTGGAAGGGACACTCTTGCTTATCATAACTATGTACTTACTTAGTTTATTCAATGCCCAGGAGCAGAGAAGAAGATTTTCAAAAAAATAGTGCATTTTCACTGTATAACCTATTCAGCCCCGCCCTAGCACTAGAGCCCCTGACCCCAGGGCCATGAATTTCACAATTTTGGTAGAGGACTCAATTCTGATTACAATCATGCAAACAATTTGACTGCTTGATGTCCAGGAGTAAAGAAGAAGATTTTTAAAGATTGCATTAATTTCAGTGGTTTTGGCCCCACCCCTCAGGCCCCAGGGGGGCAGGGGCCATGAAATTCACAATTTTTGTTCCCCTTCATTCATAGATGCTTTATACCAAATGTGGTTGAAATTGGTTCAGTGGTTCCAGAGAAGAAGCTAAAAAGACTGACGACGACGGGCGAAAAGAGATAGCAATAGGTCACCTCAGTTTACTCAGGTGACCTAAAAATGAAGTCCAGGGTCACCTCATCATTTCCATCCCAGAATGATTTTGGACATTCTGATTTCTAGTCTAACTCGCCAAATGATGACCTACCATGTGATGAGTTAGGACTAATATTAAATAATCATGTTTAATATTTTAAAATAAACTTGATAAGGCCTTAAAAAACTTTTCTTTCCTGTAAACCCAACCGACCCATTCAAATTGCAGCCAGGAAGGTGTTTCTCCTGCCAAATCCGTGTTTGATAGATTAGCTGATGCAATTTTTACTAACAGTTGAGATATAAAATATATCAACCTTAAAGTCAATATTCACCCTAAATATAATATTCCCCACATATAAAGATCATTTTCTGCCACTAGATCGAGCCATGTTGGTTGTCCACTGTAAATATCGAATTTCAATTCAGGGATGTTTGACCCCATTTAAAATATGATAAGTGAAAATGTTTTTTTTTTCAACTAGTAATTTTATTATACATGTGTCAATATGCAAGATTGTACATTAGCAACACAAAATCCTGACTTACTGACCCTTAATTGATTTACTGGTATTGGGATTATTACAAGAAACAAGCAAAAAGAATAAATGTATTTTTACTATATAACCAATAGAGGCCTGCCCTAACCCCAGACCCCCCCTCGCCAAGGGGCATTGAAATTCACAATTTTGGAAGAAACATTCTAGCTCATCATAACCATGTACATGTATCTGCTTAGTTTGTTAAATACCCAGGAGCAGAGAACATTTTCAGAGAATTAATGCATTTTCACTATATAATCAATAGAGCACCACCCAAACACCTGAAACCCTGACACTGACCTACTTTTAAGTTATCATAGTTCGAAGACCCAAGATGCATCAACTGACAAAGTTTGATGATCATAGGCCTTATAGTGTCCAAAATATGCCTTAACATCAATTTGAAAACAAATGCCCGCAAAATTACAAAAGTAGGTCACCGCGACCTACTTTTGAGTTAACATGATGTGAAGTCCTAAGATGCATTAAGTTACAAGATTTGATGATCCTAGTCTTAATAATATGCAAAATATAAACGTTTTTATTAAGTGTAAATTTAGGTCAACTTTGAAATGACCTTGAGACCATGCCCTTTGCCCCAGGGTAATTCCCCGTGCAAAATTTAATCTTCAACATATCCTGATGCTTGTATGTAAGTTTGGTGAAAATCTGCCTGGTGGTTATGGAGAAGAAGATTTTTTAAGAACCAGTACTTATTTTTATTTTATTTTCCTGATTATCTCTCCTTGTTTAAGGGTCCCAACCCTAGTTCTATAACAAGTGGTAGCCCTTGGGCCAAGGATACCCTGTGACAAATTTGACAAAGATTGGCCAAGGGGTTCTTGAGTTATGGCCCATATTCTAAAAAGTTTATGCACATCGCACAAATGGCCATAGCATTAGCTCTTTGAGCCTTTGGCTCAGAAGAGCTAAAAATACATATACATATAGTTATTTCACAAGTCCACGGGACATACATGATAATGTGTGTTTAGGTTTAGGTACACATGCTTAACATTGCTTTTATACCTACCTTTGTTTATTATGTCATATAAAACCACATGCAGTGGAGCAGGAAGCTGATCTAAGTTATTCATCACAAATTCAATAAAACGCTCCATTGCTTTGGATAAGAAAGGTTCTGTCAAAAGAGAAAGGAAGACATACCTTTGAAAATTCAACAAGAGGCCAATGGGCCACATCGCTCACCTGAGTAACTTTTGTGATGCAGTTCTTTACCAGATTTCCCCTCTTCTTATATCTATTGTGGCCCCATATCCCCCCCCCTCCACTACCCCCCATCTTGATTTTAATAATTTAGAATCTACACTACCCAAGGATACCTCCACCTAAGTTTGAGCTTTCCTGGCCCAATGGTTCTTGAGAAGAAGATTTTTCCTATATATTTCTATATAAAACTTGGATTCCCTATTGTGGCCCCGCCCTACCCCCGGGGGTCATGATTTTAACAATTTAGAATCTACACTACCCCAGGCTGATTTCACATATGTTTCAGCTATCTTCGCCCACTGGTTCTTGAGAAGAAGATTTTTAAAGATTATTCCTATGTATTTCTATGTAAAACTTGGATTTCCTATTGCGGCCCCGCCCTACCCCCGGGGGTCATGATTTTCACAATTTAGATTCTTCACTACCTCAAGATGCTTCCATATTAATTTCAGCTTTTCTGGCCCAAATGGTTCTTGAGAAGAAGATTTTTAAAGATTTTTCCTAGATCTATATATTTCTATGTAAAACTTTATGGCCCCGCCCTACTCCCAGGGGTCATGATTTTAACAATTTAGATTCTTCACTACCCCTGGATGCTTCTTCATAAGTTTCAGCTTTTCTGGCCCAGTGGCTCTTGAGAAGAAGATTTTTTAAGAATTTTCCTACATATTTCTATGTAAAACTTGGATTTCCTATTGTGGCCCCGCCCTACTCCCGGGGGTCATGATTTTAAAAATTTAGAATCTAAACTACCCCAGGATGCTTCCACATTGCAATTTCAGCTTTTCTGGCATTGAGAAGAAGATTTTTAAAGATTTTTCCTATATATTTCTATGTAAAACTTTTCCTATTGTGGCCCCACCCTACCCCCGGGGTGATGATTTTTATAATTTAGATTCTTCACTACCCCAGAATGCTTCCACATTAATTTCAGCTTTTCTGACCCACTGGTTCTTGAAAAGAAGATTTTTAAAGATTTTTCCTATATATTTCAATGTAAAACTTGAATTTCCTATTGTGGCCCCGCCCTACCCCTGGGGGTCATGATTTTTAGCCGGGCTTATTGCTCAAAGAGCAATTGCCGGCTTATGTGATCCTGTTCAAGGCAGGATGTTGACCCCATAGTCGCCATTTTAAAGTTACGTGCAAAAATATAGTTTTTGCTCTCGACCGCTTTTGAGATAATACAAACGCTAAATAAAGCAACAAAAATAAAATGAAATTTTATCTATATAAAACAAACATTAGTAGTAATGACTTTGAAAACTTCATAAGTCAAAGAACATAGTTCATTAGCGTAAGGATTTTTTGATAATCAGTGTTACCGTAGTTCTCTACACATACGATGTAAAGCAGGAGAGGGAACCAGACTGGCCTGTTTGTTTACATTCAGCTGCGGTACCAGATTAATTCTGATTCTGACAAAATCGGACTGTGGTATTAGGATTGAAAAACTCACTGTCAGTGTCTTATCATTTATATTGATAGTTTTAAAATAATTTTTTCATCAGAATATAAACATGATTCATGTAAGAAATCCATTCTACTCTGTAAATAAGCCCGGCTCTCTGTACTTCTGAGTACTTTGATTATAATTTAGATTCTTCACTACCCCAGGGTGCTTCCACATTAATTTCAGCTTTTCTGACCCACTGGTTCTTGAAAAGAAGATTTTTAAAGATTTTTTCCTATATATTTCAATGTAAAAGTTGAATTTCTTATTGTGGCCCTGCTCTACCCCCGGGGGTCATGTGGTTCTTGAGAAGAAGATTTTTAAAGATTTTTCCTATATATTTCTATGTAAAACTTGGATTTCCTATTGTGGCCCCGCCCTACCCCCGGAGGTCATGATTTTAACAATTTAGAATCTACACTACCCCAGGATGCTTCCACATAAGTTCCAGCTTTCCTGGCCCAGTGGTTCTTCAGAAGAAGATTTTTAAATGATCCCACCCTATTTTTGTCTTTTCTTGATTATCTCCCCTTGGAAGGGGATCTGGCCCTTTATTTTACAGACATGATTTCAAGGAAAAGTAAAAAAAAAGCTGAAGGGGGTCTGGGGGTCCTCCCCTAGCGGGGTTTCAAGGGGGCAGCGCCCCTGATCAGGGGGTCCAGGGGGCCCACGGCCCCCGACCGAAAATGGTTATTTTAACATTAAAAAGCCCCCTGAGAACTGAATTTTAGAGCACATATTTAAATTTTGAATGTAAAAGATAAACTTGAAAATATCTACTTATAGTTCTTTTTTGGAGAAATAAATTACAATGAGAAACACCACACGTCCAGATCTTGATCGTTACATAAACGGACTCCTGATTGGAGAAAGTCTACAAGGAGGCAATTATTCAACCAATGAATAAGCCGTTCACATAAAAAAATTAAAGGAACTGTTTCGAAGAAAGTAAAAGTCAAATTAGTTACGGAAAAAATCCGAATTACTATAAAAGCGGATTTGAAAAATAAGAGCGGAAATAATAAATCCGGATAGCGGATTTCCGCTTTAAAGCTGAAAAAAATCATGTCTGATTTTAACAATTTAAATTCCCCATCCCCCAAGGATGCTTTGTATTAAGTTTGGTTAAAATTGGCCCAGTGGTTCTTGAGAAGAAGTTGAAAATGTGAAAAGTTAACAGAGGGGTGGACGGACAGACGGACTACAGACAAAATGTGATCAGAAAAGCTCACTTGAGCCTTCGGCAAGTGGGCGAAGATAGCTGAAACATAACTGGACCACTGGACCAAAGATGAAAAGTAGTTTCATCTCTCAAATCTACATGAACTCAAAATTATTCAATTAGTAAATAAAATTAAAACAAAAGGTCCAGGGGTCACATTACTCACCTGTGCAATTTAAGCTAGGCAACAAGCAGAAACCAGTTCAGTATTGAAAAGTTTACATGACAAGAGGCCCAAGGGCCTTATAGATCACCTGAGTATCATGTAACAACTTTCCAGCAAATGAATTTGGTTTGTGTTTTAAATCAAAAGCCATGGAATTCACAATTTTGAAAGAGGCATCATTGCTAAACATAATTATACACTTAGCATGCTTACTTTGGTTAATTAATACCCAAAGATAGATCAGAGTAACAAAGAGAAAATGCATTTCCACTTTATAACCACCAGTTGTACACCCCAACCCACAGGAACCACTGACCCTGGGGCCACATATTTCAAAAGTTTGGAAATCTTATCATAAATTTTATTTCATCATACATGGCTGATTAATACCAAAGAGCAGATTTCAAAGCAATAATTTATTTCAGACAAAGAACACCCCTGTACCCCTGACCCATGGGCCCTGAAAGTAACCATTTTGAAAGAGGCCCATTTCTTCATCATAAATATGTAATTAGATCATTGGCATATTAGCCAGGAGCAAAGGAAAAGATTTTCAAAAAATTCGTGCATTTTCACTAAATAATCATTAGAGTCCACCCTAATCATTAGAGCTTGACCCAGGGGTCCTGAAATTCACAAATTGGGAAGAAACATCCTTCCTCATCATAACTATGTACATAATTCATTGATTTAATACCCAGGAGCAGAGGAGAAGATTTTTAAAGAATTCATGCATTTTAACTTTGCAATTAATAGAGCCCCACCCTAACACCAGAACCCCTGACCCAGAGGCCATGAAATTCACAATTTTCGAAGAGACATTCTTGCTGATTATAACTTTGTACTTTGTTAGTTTATTTAATACACAGGAGCAGAGGAGAAGATTTTTAAAGAATTAATGTAATTACACTACATATTCAATAGAGCCCCACCCTAACACCAGAACCTCTGACCCTGGGGCCATGAAATTCACAATTTTCGAAGAGGCAGCCTTATTCAACATTATTAACAACAGAGACAGAAAAGGCTTGATCGTGAAAATTAATTGTCGTGAACTAGTTTACCTACGGAAAATCATGAAATAAAGTGGTTGTAAATAAAAGTTGGTTTACAGTATTTAATGAATTTTTTTTTGTTTTAAGAATCCTATTCAGTACAAGAGGCCCAGGGCCTTATAGGTCACCTGCGTATCATGTAACAACTTTCCAACAATTGAATTGGTTCGTGTTTTAAATCAAAGGCCATGAAATTCAAAATTTTGAAAGAGGCACTATTGCTTATCATAACTACATGTATACACTCAGCTTGCTTACTCTGGTTAATTAATACCCAGAGGTGAATAAGAGTAACAAAGAGAAAATGCATTTTCACCTTATATACAGTTGTGCACCCCATCCCACAGGAACCACAGACCCTCAGGGTCCGACACTCGTCAAAATTTGGTCTCGCCATTTTGGCAACCTTGGTATGATCTCAGGTTGCCCGAATGAATTTCAAGTCATCCAAATAAAATATCAAATGAAACAAAACTCAATGTACAATTGTTTAAAATTTGTTAAGATAATTAACAGAAGTTGTGTTTTTTCAATTTTATATTAAAAAATGTAAACCAAATATTTGGAATGTCAAGAGGTCTTTCAGCATTTTATCAAACAAAAATATACCAAGTAAGCAGAATGATGATTGAATCAGACAGCCAGAATGCTTAAGTTTGTAGTTTAAAACATTCATTTTCACTTACCATGAAACCCTGCATAAATGGGTTCAAATAACCTGGACTGAAATAACGAGGTGTGATATTACAGTGGACACCCAACATGGCTGTCTATATGAGATGATCAGAAAGTTGTAGGGGGAAATGCAAGATGTTACAATGATGATAATTACTCTTTATATTTAAGGTGACTGTTGACTAAGTTGGCATATTTTATATCTCAAATAAAACTTTAATCAAGACTTTTGGTAAAAATTGCATCAGCTGATTGATCAAACACAGATTTAGCAGGAAGAAATTGAACATGTTGAAAGGGTTGGTTTTGTTACAGGAAAATATTTTTTCAAAGCCTTATGAAGTTTATTTTAAAATATTAAAGATCATTATGAAATATTCCCAACTTGTCCCAGGTCGTCATTTGGGCGAGCCAGACTAAAAATCAGGTCGTCCAAAATCATTTCTGGATGGAAATGACGAGGTGACGAGCGCAAATGTCGAACCCTGGACCCTGGGGGCACATATTTCAAAATTCTGGAAATTTTATCATAAATTTTATATCATCATAAATGGTTGATTAATACAAAAAAGCAGATATCGAAGCATTAATTTATTTTCAGACCATGTAACCCCCACCCCAAATACCCTGACCCAGGGGCCCTGAAATTAACCATTTTGGAAGAGGTACCTTTCATCATCATTAATATGTACTTAGAACATTGGCATTAATACCCAAGAGCAAAGGAAAAGGTTTTCAAAGTATTGATGAATTTTCACTGTATAATCATTAGAACCCTGCCCTGACACCAAAACTCCTGACCCTGGGGCCCTGAAATTCATGAATTTAGAAGAGGCTTCCTTCTTCATCATAACTATGTACATAGTTCACTGGTTTATACTCAGGAGCAGAGAAGAATTTTTTTCAAGAATTAATGTATTTTCACTGTATAATCAATACAGCCCCACCCTAACACCAGAGCCCCTGACCCAGAGGCCATGAAATCCACAATTTTGGAAGAGGCGCTCTTATTCAACATAACTAAATGTACTTGTTTAGTTTATTTAAAACTCCGGAGCAGAGAAGAAGATGTTTATAGAGAATTAATGTATTTATACTATATGATCAATAGAGCCCCACCCTAACACCAGAACTCCCAACCCAGGGGCCATGAAATACACAATTTTGGAAGAGGCATTCTTGCTCATCATAACTATGTACTTGGTTAGTTTATTTAATATCCAGGAGTGGAGAAGAAGATTTTCAAAGAATTTATGCATTTTCACTATATAATCAATAGAGCCCAACCCTAAAACCAGAACCCCTAACCCCAGGGCCATGAAATTCACAATTTTGGAAGAGGCAGCTTTATTCAACATAACTATATATTCAGTTTGTTTATTAAATACCCAGGAGCAGAGAAGAAGATTTTCAAAGAATTCATGTATTTTCACTATTTAATCAATAGAGCCCCACCTTAACACCAGAACCCCTGACCCTGGGGCCTTAAAATTCACAATTTTGGTAGAGGCACTCTTGCTTATCATAACTGTGTTGGTAACTTAGTTGGTTTATTTAATACAATGTACCTAGGAGCAAAGAAGAAGATTTTCAAAGAAATAATGCATTTTCACTATATACTTATTTAGCCCCGCCCTAGCACTAGAACCCCTGACCCCAGGGCCATGAATTTCACAATTTTGCTAGAGGACTCAATGCTGATTACAATCATGCAAACAATTTGACTGCTTGATGTCCAGGAGTAAAGAAGAAGATTTTTAAAGATTGCATTAATTTTAGTGGTTTTGGCCCCACCCCTCAGGCCCCAGGGGGGCACGGACCATGAAATTCAAAATTTTTGTTTCCCTTCATTCATAGATGCTTTATACCAAATTTGGTTGAAATTGGTTCAGTGGTTCCAGAGAAGAAGCTAAAAATGTTCAAAAGTTTACGACCAACATACGACTGATGATGACGGACGAAAAGAGATACATGTAGCAATAGGTCACCTGAGTTTACTCAGGTGACCTAATAAAAGAGGTTTTTTTTTCCAAAGTAAATAGATATTTTCCACTCTATTAAAAGAAAAATTAATCTAAAATTTTAAAATATTATATTTAACTGAATGATTTTTTGGCTAAGGAAAGCAAAAAAATTAAACAGTTTTTTAACACCCGTAAAATGAAACTAAATTATTCATGGCAGTCATGATGAAAATTCAACATGCAGATTTTATGGTGATTAATGAGCATGACGAGTGTTCATATTTTCTGACAAATCCAGTAGTAGTCTATCAGAAAATGTCCAGGCAAATTCATGGGTACAGACAGATGGATTAGACAGACAGATGGACAACTGAACAAGGTAATTCAAATATACCCCCTTAACTTACTTTGTGGTGAGTTACCCAAAAGATGTGAATTAAAGTTCAAAGAAAAACACTTACCCTTTAAACCCTCCCTCTCTGCTGCTTTAAATACTTCAGAACGCTTTGAGAAACTCATCAATTTCTGGGATACTAAGTCTGAAAAGCAAGAAAGTAAGAATTGTAACCATGGTAATTGGGTAATTTATTGTAACCAGATATTTGTACTTTTTTTAAGTACTTAGACTGATTTCACTTAGTTAATCTAGCAGATACAGAAGAATCACATATTTTCATGGGGTCAAATTTATAGGTGGTTTGAGAGATACTCTTGGTTCATTGGGATTTGATTTCATGGATGAATGATTGCTGAGTAGTTATGCATGTAACATTTCAAATTTCATGGCAGTCATAAATTCGTGGGTCTCTTGATACCTCGAAAACAATGAAAATTAAACCCCCACGAAAATTTCTGATTTCACAGTAATTATATATTTTTATTATGAACTGTACAAGTTATATTCCTAAAAAAAATCTATTTTTAGAGATAATCAGTATTCTTTATTACATGTATCATGATTATTTAATCAAACTAGAAAAAGATAAGAAAATGAAGTTTATTCAATCATTGTTAAATGTCAATGAGGTTTGTTGAAAAAATCCCTGGAAGCAGCGTACCCACAGGCTGGCCTGCAGTGTTACAAGAATTCTCCTCACCTGTAGTATTTTCAAAATACTGTAAAGCCACTAAAGGGGCAACCTCCTAAAACTTCACAACAACACCCCCCCCTCCACCCCAAGAAAATAGCAAATATTGAAGTGTTGGGGCCAACAATAAAAAACATAGGTAATCAGAGATTACAGAGCTCACCTCAACGAATGTTGTCTTTAAGTAAGGCAAAGTCACACAATTAACCAACAAAAAGTGTACATTCCAAAAATGAAAATATTTAAGCAATTTTGATCTGATACTTTGAAACAGACCTACATAAAAAATTTAAACTAGTTCTTCTTCAAGAAAATGTAATCAAAATCCAGCATCTGAAGCAAATTTGAGAGTTTTCATCTCTTGATGCAACATTTGTGCAAGTTTGGTTTATACAATGTAATATAAGCCATATAGTTTTTTGGTAATAGACCTGCACCCATAACTTTTACCTGGTCTATTATCTGAAAAATGTATGTCGAATTCAGCATCTGAAGCAAGTCCATTAGTGTGCATCCTAAGATGTATCGTCCATGCAAGTTTGCTCATTATAGGGCTCATAGTTAATTGGAAATCAAACATGCATCAAAAACTAACATTTTCACTCATCCACAAAAAGTAGATCAGATTCAGCATCCGAAGCAAGCCCGGTAGTATGCATCCTTATCTGTATCATCCATACAAGTTTGGTCGTTAAAGAACTCATAGTTACTTGGAAATGAAATCTGCACCAAAAACTTTAACCTATTCACTCAACCAGAAAATGTAAGTCAGATTCAGCATCTGAAGCAAGCCCGGTAGTATGCATCCTTATATGTATCATCCATACAAGTTTGGTCGTTAAAGAACTCAATGACATAGTTACTTGGAAATAAAACCTACACCAAAAACTTTAACCTATTCACTCAACCAGAAAATGTAAGTCAGATTCAGCATCCGAAGCAAGCCCGGTAGTATGCATCTTTATATATATCATCCATGCAAGTTTGGTCAACATAGGGCTTTTAGTTACTCGGAAATGAGACCTACACCAAAAACTGCACCAAAAACTTTAACCTGTTCACTCAACCGGAAAATGTAGGTCAGATTCAGCATCCGGAGCAAGCCTGGTAGTATGCATCCTTAGATGTATCATCTATGCAAGTTTGGTCAATATAGAGCTTACTTGGAAATAAAACCTGCACCAAAACTTTAACCTGTTCACTCAACCGAAAAATGTAGGTAGTATGCATCCTTAGATGTATCATCCATGCAAGTTTGGTCAACATAGGGCTTATAGTTACTTGGAAATGAAACCTACACCAAAAACTGCACCAAAAATGTTAACCTGCTCCAAAAACATTAAACTGGTCATTCCTTTGCTGAAACTGCAGCATCTGAAACTTTGACTGGTACAATGAAACACACTAGAACCATCTTCCATGCATGTCTAATCAATATAGGATAGAAGTTCTTAAAAAGAAAACTGCTCCAAAAAACTTAACCTTAACCTGGGACGCCGACGCCGACACCGACGCCGAGGGTATTACATAAGCTCCCCCAACTTCGTTGAGGTGAGCTAACAAGAGGCCCAGGGGCCACATCGCTCACCTTAGCTCTGGCTGTTTAAACTAAAAGCAAAAATCAGTTCAGTATTGAAAAATTTAAATATTAAAGTGAGTTCAAGTGGAATCATGATTTGAACAAACTTGAACCTACACCACATGAAGATGCTTCCATATGACTGTGACCAATAATGGCTTTGCTGTTCTTGAGAAGAATTAAAGATTTTCCCCATGTATTCCTATGTTAAACTTTGACCCCCATTGCGGTCCCATCCTATCCCGCAGGGTCATGATTTGAACAAAGAACTATATGCGGTATTAACCAACATTTGCCCCCCAAAATCAAACTTTAATGGAGTAATATTCAATTAAGTCCTTAAACAGTGGAGTATATGCTGACTTCAAAGCACTGAATAATTTCATAAGTAATGACCTGTGTATTCCTACGTAATGACGTCACAAATATGACGTAAATTTCAGTTTTTTATGAATTTTGCAGAAAAATGTACATATTTCGTCGATATTTTAAATAAGTCACCGAGCGCATGTGTGTTCAGGATAAATATTTTGATATAATGTGTAGAATGATAATATCAATGAAATATGTCAATATTGTTCCTAAACACACATGCGCTCTATAAATTGTAAAGCTTGAATTGTTGAAATTTTGTTAATTTTTTTATTTCTGAAAAAGGATATAAAAAGTTCATTAATTAAGCAGTAGTTAATTAACAGAAATTGTGAATACACTGCTCTGGAACTATAATATTTTCTGTTAACTTAGATTTCTCGTACAATTTATTGCATTCAGCACATTACAGGAAGTTTTCAAAATTTGACTTTTGTGGGGGCAAACATATGCAATATACCGCATATAGTTCTTTAAATCTACACTACTAGAGGATGCTTCCACATGAGTTTCAACTTTCCTGGTCCAGTGGTTCTGGATAAGAAGATTTCTTAAAGATATTACCTGTGTATTCCTATGTTAAACTTTGAGTATTGTGGCCTACATATCCTGGGGTCATGTTTTCAATTTCATTGAAGGGTTTGTTACGCTATTTTCAAATCTTCTTTTCTAGTACTTTAAAGCCATGATTAGAGATGTTTATATGGAATCATCCTCAGGTAGTGTAGATTCTACAATGAAGCGCATTGAAGTGGTAAAATTTTCCATTTGGATGAGACGTTCTGAGTCATGTTTTGAACGTCAATTTGAACATAATGACACGCCCATTTCTTTAGAAACGAGAAAGAAATATTCGTTGTAATGTTTTAGGACAACCCACTTTCCGCGACAGGCAACATGAGTTTCACTGAAATGAAGATTTTCAAATAAGAAAGAGCTATATATAGAGTCATCGCTTCTGTAAAACATGTATTGCAACGAATTTGTACAGAATTATGATTTTATCATGTTTATTGGAGTTAACATAACACATGTATCAGTCGAACACGTGCTTACTCGGTGTTTATGTAAACCGTCAATTTCATTGGCGATTATATTTATGGAATACCTGTTCTACGGGTATTCGATTGAATCATTTGACCGATTTTTCCTTTCTAAAGAAATGGGCGTGTCTAAAGATAGCTCAAAATGTTCCATCCAAATGAAAAATTTTACCACTTCAATGCGCTTCATTGTAGTTTGTTCAAATTATGACTTCTGGGGGTAGGGTGGGGCTAAAATGGCTGATCAAAATTTTACATAGGAATAACAGGGAAATTTTTAAAATCATCTTCTTAAGTCCTTCAAAGCCATGATTAGTCTAGAGATATTTATATGAAATCATCCTCAGGTATGAGAAAAATGTCTAACGGGACCCAGGTTTTGGTTTGAGAGATAGAAAACTTCAAGAGATAGAAGTTCGAGAGATCAGGAGTAAATTTGCTTAGTTAATAGTTATATAGAGGAAAAAAACGGGACCAGAGGTTCACTTCAAGAGATCGAGAACTTCGAGAGATCGGAGTTCGAGCCATCAAGAGTCACCTGTATATATCTCTTATACTGTCAAATATTTCAGATCGAAACCTTTTTCTATCAAAAAATAATTCCAGATTTGCTTTTAGCGCTGATTATACTCCTTATTTACAGTTCCTGAAACATTCCACTTTCCCACTTGAATGGTGAATTAATGCTGAACGAACTGTGAACAAACGCAGAGTGTAGGGTGAGTGAATGATGTGTTAAAGCTGAATGCAAATTGGTGAACGATGAACACAAACAGCGAAAAGTTAATGGTGAACGAACAGTGAATGCGAGATGAACAATTTATTTGAAATGCCTCTGATCTTCTCCTTGCATTGAGTTTATATTCTATTGCATACCTGTCAACTCTCCCAAATTTTTCGGGAGTCTACCAATTTTTAACCATCCCTACCGATTGTCTACCGAATTTTTTTTTAACTGCAATTTCTACCGATTTTGAAAAAATTCAGAATCTTTACCTACTTGTGTTCATAAAATACCATCAAGTCAACACAAAAACGGAGGTCATGCAGTGTTTATCGGTAGCTAATTTATTAATCTGTTTATTGCCACTGATAAGAATCAACAAGGTGTCAGATGTGCTATCAGATGTAATTGCAGTTGCCATTGCTCCTTATTCTCATTTACAGTGTTTATTACAAAAGACAGAGATGCCAGATGTGAAAATTTTGCAGAAAATAACGATGAATAATTAATTAAGTAATTAAAATAAACTTTACAAAATTGTCCTAAGAAAGAGGATACATGCACATTAAGTAAAATTATTACAGACCCTAAACCATGCTACTACACCACTTGAACAGTACGGTTTGGTACGTTTTGTGAACGGTGCGGTACACTTCATGAACGGAAAGGTTCATTTGAGAACAGTACGGTATGCTTTCTGGACGGTACGTTTCGTTTCGTGCACAGTATCGTTCGTTTTGCAGTAAACTGCAGTCATGACCCTATTTCTGAAATTCAGTTCAGCTAAATCGGCCAACAAACAACCAGTCGAAAGTTTTGAAGAAAAAAACAGTTAGAAAATGGCAGACACACTAGTGATGAAACGATTGTCGTCGACGATCGATTGTCGATCGTTTTTGGGTGTTCGATTCCGATTATCGATTACGTTTTTCATAATCGATTGTCACCCAAATAAACTCGACTCAAATAAACTTGTAGGATTTGAACGAAACAAATACATATGCATTAACAATAAATGATGTACAAAAGGAGGTCAACAAAAATGGCGTCCGAAGACGAAGTTAACAACAATCAGATCAATCAAGTAGAAATTTACCCATATCCAGGGTATGCATATATAGATTGTTCTATCATTAAAATGATATTGTCCTACGGACCCAGAATTTGTTCCATGTATTCGTAATATAACAAAAAAAACACGGGCAATAACTCGTAATCAGTGCATTTAGTATGGACAATCTAGAGAGTTCCGAATGTAAACATGGCTATTAAATTTGAAGAGAGAGAAAAACGTTGATAATTGGATTTTCATCTTTATATGGATTATTTTTGGGGATAAAAGGCATAAGCAATCTCAAAAAGGGTTATTTTGATTAATTTGGAAGTTATTTCAAGTGCAAATCCTTTTATATTCTCCGCTCCAATTTGCTACATTGGGACGTATTCTAACTGTGGTGAGGGCTTGTACCGAGACACAGTTAGATTATTCTAACTAGGGAATGCAAAATCTGATGTCATGACAAACATTTTTAGTTTTATTGAGCATATATGTAATTTTTTTCCGTTTCTTTGTTACTTATACAACAAAAAGTTGTCTTTAGAACAAACTTTATAAAATTTTATTTTTAGTTTGTTCCATAAATGATAAATGCTATAAAGAAATGCAATTTTGTATTTGAAATTTTAATTACCAATGAAGTCGATCATTGATCGATTAAGCTTCTCCGATTTTGACCGATTATCGATTGTGAAATTTTCACGATTATTCAACACTAAGACACACAGACCATGGTTGATTTATGACTCGGAAAACAATTTGAACTAAAGATTGAGAGAGAGCTTGAGAATTTTGACACAGAAACACTGTCCTTAAAGTTAATATAAAAAGCTTAATTTTTGTTTGTTGCACAATCATTACTGGTATATGAAAGAATTTAGAGAAGGACATGTACAAATTTGAATTGGCTGGGTTAAAATGATAGGTATACATGCCCGAAGGACATGTGCTGAAAAACAATTGTTGTGAAGACTGATATATATATATCAAATTATCATTGCGTATATACTTTTTTCTATAAGTGCCATTTTGACCAAGTGCCGTTTTGCATAATCCAGGTGCCGTTTTCACCAGGTACCATTTAAACCATAATTCAGCCTGTTAGCTTTAGTCCTTGATTGGCTGCTAATAATTAGTAGAATTCAATTTTGGGGCCAAAAACTTCGTATTTTAAATTTTTTCCGATCGCTCACGCGATCTCATATATACTAAAGTCGCCTTAGGAGACACTACATTTTGGCGCGTTTTTCTGGGGACCGGTAAAGTAAAGTCGTTCCGTCCATTGTTAACCAGGTTGGGACCAATCGCCCAATGGGATATAATAGTCTGTTTGGGATATAATATCCCAAATGGGCTATAAATTTACAGTGCAAAAATTTAAAATTTTTATTTTGGCAATAGATATCATAAATCCGCATTAAAACACTTAAAAAGGAATAACTTTTGGTAAGCAAGTTTTTCTGCAACCCTACCATTTCTTAGATTGATCCCCAAGAAGTTATTAGGAAATTCCGAGGGATCAATCTCCTAAACAATGAGCATACAGGAAAACTTGTCAACCAAAAGTTATTCCTTTTTTAGTGTCCTGATGCGGATTTATAATATATATGGCCAAAATAAAAATTTTCAATTTTTGCAATGTAAATTTATAGCCCATTTGGGATATTATATCCCAAACAGACTATTATATCCCATTTGGGAGATTGGTCCCAACCTGTTAACGATTTTTGAAGTATTTTATCAGTGATAACTAAAATTAATACCAACCCGGATCAAGATCACCCGTCAAATCTCTCCCTGTTCCCGTTGGATCGATTAGTGTATCCAAAACAGTTTCTTTTACGGAGATATCCTCTATATTCCCCGATGTTTTTGAGTGAATGCCTCTTATCAACACCTCGTTCTTCCTTGAAGTTTTTAATTGAGGCAATTTGTTTATGTAATTGGTTCGAATGAAACCACTGAACCCGGCATCAGTTAGGAACTTTCGACATGCACAATATGTATTTCCCTTGAGAAATCTTCGTAACACATACATCGCTGATTTCATAAGTTTTTCTCAAAACACATGGAAAAGTCATTGCTTTCAATGTCAATTTGACGCTTGGAATAGATTGATGGAGGGAACATACTAAAGACCAGATATACTAAAGACCTGATATTTGACCTGATGGAAAAAATATTTCTTACAAATTATCAATTAAATTAAAACATTACATCTCATATTTCTGGGGCAAAAATATTAATGATAGTAGATAATACTATACTAAAATACACTTTAAGTGGATAATCAGTAGATTTTTTTGCTATGTATTTAAAAAATGTGGCGGTCAGTCGGATTCGATCGCCGGTGGCCAATATACTGGTGTCTCATTATATCGCGGTACTTAAAAACTTCTGCAAAAAAAGTGTAATTCCAATTTTTTACTTAAACTTTCACCAAATGATATTCATAAACCAAACTATGGCCTATCTTTTTAGTATCAAATTATTTCCCAAGCTTGCATCGTTCAATTCGTAGTCTACTTTTAAAACCGGAAGTCTTATTTACCTCATAGTATCGCGGTATGGGAAAACATGCCACCTTGTTGTTGACATGGACTCCAATTCTTATTTTTAATTTTACGATGTAATTTTACATAAAAAATAAACAATCATACAAACTAAAGACTTTCAAAACATGAACTTTATTATGCATTTTACTAGATTATAAATTCAGTGGTCTAAATATAATAAAAACGGGAATGGAAATCTGGAAAATTACGTTTTATTTGAATAAAAACTTTTCTGACGCATGTTCCATTCTTTGTAATCATCACGAAAATTTACATTCAGACGACAGAAAGATAGATTTATCCACAAAAATGATATGAGCTGTGTATATGATTTTTTGGAATATACCGCGACACTCTCTACCAGAGAGGAACGAACGACAACTCTGCATAGGAGATTGATACCGCGATACAATGGAACCCGCGATATAATGAGAATCGAGTATACATGTAGCTCAGAACTTGGTAGAGCAACTGACCGGAGTTTCAGCATTGTTCAGGGGGTCCGGGTTCGAATCCCGGTCTGGTCCCCTCCCGTTACAAAGGTATACATGTATATTCATGATGACCTGATATTTTTTACTTTACAGACCTGATATTTTTAGATGAAATGGAACTGCAGCAAATATTCAAATTTTATGAAGTTTAACATTGAAATCTGTTTTATTTCCCTAAAAATATACTAAAAAAAATAAATCAGGTCATTTAAACCCATCACATCATTTGAAAATATCAGGTCTTTGGTATGAAATCATCAGATCATTTCAAATCATCAGGTCAATTTTTTATTTAATTCTTGCCAAAAGATTTGTCTCAAAACCATTTCAAGTGTTTAATTTTTCTAAAAGAATTCTAAAAAAAAAAAATCAGGTCATTCAAAACCTCCCATTGAAAGTCATTTATATGAAAATATCAGGTCTTCACTATAGAAATATCAGGTCATTCAAAATATCAAGTCAACAAGTTTTGTAAGAACACCTTGATACAAAGAAAAAAATTCTCAGTGTTATTTACTAAAAGTGCATTTTATTAGTATAGTATCATCAATAATTGTCTCCCAAAAAATTGATACACATGTACAGAATGTTTAAATTGATAATTTTATGTTATATTTTTTCATCAGTCAAAATATCAGGTCGTTAGTATATTAGGTCTTTAGTATGTTCCTAGCTTGTTGGAGTGTGACTAAAATGGGTAGTAAATCCGGGCCGGGCCGGGTCGGGAAATTTGAAACCAAAACCGTGTTTTTTGCTAATTTCTGGGGAAAAAACACAACAATTATTTGCCATTAAAATAATGTTTTGAGAGAGAGGAAGAAGAACACGTCTGTCTAGTATACTGACTATTTTATTAAGTGACCATCAGATTGAACATATTCCCATGCATATAAAAATGATTGACAACAGATGATTTTAGGAGAGGAACTTTACCGTGAGAACTAATAATGACAGAGAGCAGTGTTTTATTAAAAATAAACATTCTGATGCTGGTTTGGTAATTGTTAATTATAGATTGACAGATTTAATTTAGAAGTATTAACATCACTATTCAACATTTGTTCAGTCTCGCTCAGATTGTGTTTTAAACATGGTTAAAGTAGGACATGTTATGCTTCCTATTGATATAGTTCATATCGACTTTCTTGCCCTTCCCTAGCACTAGAACCCCTGACCCTGGAGCTGTGAATTTCACAATTTTGGTAGAGGGCAGGGTAATCTCTACCCAGAGTTATAGTTCGCTTCGCTACAATACCTCTGCTATTGTCTCAATGCCAAGATTCTTGGCAAAACTTACTTGTACCTTTTGCATCATAAATTGTCAATGTAAAACTTCTATATTCTTGCTGAACATCTTAAATGAAGGTTTATTTAGGAGAATCAAAATCAGATATCACTTTTCATCATATCTTATAAGGGATTATTATCCCAAGTGAAAAAAATCCTCAAACAAATCACTTTAAGAAATCACTAATGAATCAGTGATTTGAAGATGATTTGTAAGTGATGCAAATTCCCATGCAAATGAGCTAACAAATCACTCTTAATAAATTGCAAGCAAATCACCCTGAAATCACAACGAAATCACTTTGAATAAATTGTGTAGAAATCAATTCTCTTGAACAAATCGCAACCAAATCACTCCGAATAAATTGCAAACAAATCACTTCAAATAAATTGCAAACAAATCACTTCAGTTTAATGAATCACTTTCAAATCACTCCAGATGGATACACACGTGTGTGCATGTAACCATCTCTGAAATATTTGAAACACATGCATATTTGTTGTATATTAACAAAAAACTTTTGGCAAGAGTATAATTAAAATATAAACTTTTACTAGGATGTGTCCTCATTAAGATGGCATCATGTATTTTAGATATACACACATGTACTTGGCTTCAAATTCATAATTATGATACGAGTATAAGGATTACTTGTTGCCTTTTAGATGTTGGTAAATGTTTTCTCATCTGAAATAAATATTTGTCTAGACACTTTGGAAAGCCAGTACTTTGCTGAAGCTTATAGCTTTACATAGATTTTGTTTTAAATATTAATTGCCACTGACTTTGTTGTTGGTAGAAGAACAATAAATTGCATGTAAACATATGGAATATTAACTGAATCTTAAGGAGGAAATGATAGCATAATACAGTTACACATACCTTTAAACTGTATTCTGCATGGTTATGGAAAAAACATCAGTTTCAACAAAAGAAGAGAGGTATGAATCTAGAACAGCACAATCTAGCTCCTTTCATTTCAATTCAAATCTGATCAATGAAAATTGGCGGTAGAGTTTTTAATACTGACCAATCAGCAAGCCAAGCGGAAGTTATGAAGTAAATCATTCTCAAATCACTCTGAAGAAGGACCACGAGTTCAACAAATCATTTACAAATCATCCAGAAAAAGACTAAGTTAACAAATCATCTTCAAATCACTTTGAAGAAAGACTAAGTTCAAGAAATCATTTCCAAATCACCTTAAAGAACGGCTAAGTAAAACAAATCATGAAGAAATCACTGTAGCAATTTCCTAAGTTTAACAAATCACTCAGAAATTGTCTGAAATGGGAAGGAAATCACAAGCAAATCACCCTTTCATAACAAATTGTAAGCAAATCATAGTCATCATTTTCGTAGAAAATGATTTAAGTATGATTTGTTAGATGAATTGCTTACAAATCACTGAAACAAATCACTTTTAAGTGATTTTAGATCAATTTGTAGGCAATTTGTAAGTGATTTGTTTGAAAAAATTTTCACTTGGGATAGTATTTCTCGGCAGGATATTACGTACGTGGAAAATTTAAAACGCTTTAATTGCCGATAAATATTAACATGATCTAGCTTTTATAGACAAACAACTTGCAGCATTGATACATATAAAAAAAAAAATTAAAGGCGTTAATCATCTTGCAGGTCATTTTAAACAACGTTTGAAAAAAATCACGTTCCTCCGCGTCCGCACTACTTTTTAGACGTAATTGTGGAACGATAACTCTTGGTAGAGATTGGGGACAGAGATCATGAAATTCAAATTTTTTGTTCCCTTTCATCCATAAATCCTTACGCCAAAATTGGTTGAAATCGGTTAAGCAGTTTAATTTCTATGGGTACCACAAAATTTGAAATGTTGACCCACTTTTACAAAAGAAATTATTATATTATGATATAACAAACTTTAACCTTGGCCATCACTTTTGAACAGTTGGTGTTAGAGCTTTTCATATTCTTATTTCAGCAACTTGTTTGTCAATAATTTCGGCACCTCGTTTTAGAAATTGTTCATACGTAGAACATGTTCTTGCGTTTAGAATCAACTGAGAGATATAGACGTCGACCCCGTATGTAGGTGATGGAGATACATGTATATTGCCGCATAAGTAAGGGAAGTTGCCGATTGAAAAGTTAAAGTATAAATCACGTTTACCATAAAGCTTGGTTGTTAGACTATGTACCATTATTAAACGTATTTTTCAAATAAAATATCTAAATATGAAACAGATGTGTCCGACTCTGTTGTATCTTTTATTTTAAGATCACCGGTATAGCAACATTGCATAGGCGTCGGAAGCAAATTGAAAGTGGGGGGGGGGGAGAGACTAATTGAAAGGGGGGCTAAACCACCAACAATCATCATACAATATATTAGATATAGAATACAAATTGAATCACGATTTACACATATTGGAAATTTGGTCAAATAAGTGGCTACTCAAATTCAATCCATCTAAAACTAAGGTAGTTTATTTCAACAAGAAAAATATTTCTGCTATGCCAAAGTTATTTTTCAAAGGCGATAGACTTGAGTGTGTTCCAGTCCATCGCCATTTGGGTTTGCTATTGTCGCAAAATCTTAGTTGGTCTGAATATATTGATGGAGTTGTAAATAGTGCCAATAAAAAACTAGGCCTTCTAAAGAAGTTAAAGTTCAAAATGGGTAGAAAAAACTTAACAAAATTGTATATTACATTCATCAGACCTATGCTTGAATACGCTTCGATCGTTTGGGATGGCTGCTCG